CGTCCTGTCTTTAGACATGATGCGGAGTTCGGGACACTACACTTATGGGCGTAATGTCCAATCTTCTGACAGCGATGGCATCTTGCCGTTCTCTTGTGACTCAGAGAGAGAAAATTCTCGCTCTTGATGTAACAGAGTTCCATAGGTTCGGGACCTCCTGTTTCCTGTCGTCTTGTCGGACGATAGTTTGACATGTTAGCCTAAGACTGTCTCAGGCTGAAGTCTTCTTGTTCCGCATACGCTATCGCCTTTTCCAGCGTACGGAAGTCCTCTCGGAACATGTGGGTCTTGACCGGTGTATCTACAAGGCCGTAGATGAACACGTTGGTGATTGTGTACTCATCACCAAGATATTTGTGACGCTACTCGCAAGTAGCGTAGGTGTTGTGCATCAGCGTGCCCATCACGCTTACCTTGCTTTAGCCTCAAGAGTGCAGAGCGTGCTCTGGACTCGGCTCTCGGCGGCTCAAACGTTTCTTTAAGCCGAGACTTCAAGATGTCCAGCAACTTAAACACGTTGGGGTCGTGAAGCTTGATCTTTAAGTCCCAAGTGTTTAATCATCCGGTCAAATTTGACAGGGCGAAGGTGACTTGCATCTCGTCACCTTCGATGTAACGGGCCCTTATGGCATCGTCTAACTCGACGAACCATCTTAAAAGGGAACCTTTATCGGTTCCCTTATACCTTAAGTTATCTATCTTCAAGGTTTCGGGTCGACGCATGTGCATCGTCCCACCCATCGACTGACGAGCGCCTTGCTGCTGTAGCAAGACTTTCTTCTGTCGTTCAACGGCAAGTTCCCTCTTGTACGAACTTGTTGATAGCAGCATGTTGCTGGTCTCTGCTTATTACTCCAATATGCCACTGATGGCGGGTTCGTCCATGAGCACACTCATGCGGCCGAATACCTCCCACTCTGAGTCACTCAGATGGGAGTATCCTTCACGTGTGACGTGAAAGCTGTCGTCTTCTACGTCCAACATGTTCATGTTAGACGGACACTAAGTAGTCGTTGGGCGGACTACAAAGTGCTACCAGGTGTAACGGGGCACCCTTTGTTTGGGGTGCCGCGAAATTTCACGTACTCTAGTACGTGCAGAGGAAGCTATCTACTTGAACGACTCGTTCAAGTAAATATAAAAAGAAAACTTTATCCAGTATAGTTAAGCTATCAATATAACTTTAATCTTTATCGAACCATATTATACTACGTCGTCGTATGACGACAGCCTGCCTACCACTCATTGCGCGCGTCTAGCAGCGATCGGTGGCAATCTATGGTTGAAATGTCTTATATAAACCGATCTTAGAGCAGCGCATGAATATTATCCAGAAGGGGATAATATTCCTTCAAATATTATCCATCTCGAATAATATCGATAGGATATTGTCATGCTAGACAAAATTCCAATTGACACCGTTTGGTGTCAATTTCATGTAACGGGCTACCCCGTTACACATTGAACCCGCACGGTTGTCTAGTCCGCGCAATTACTCGTTTACAAAGTCGCAGTGCTATCTCGAACAGCACCGGACCTACCTCCGGGCGTCAGAGCGGAGACCGACCGCTTGTTTATGGACACGGCGGGAGAGATCGGCAGCGATCGGATACGACTCTGGTGGATAGCGTGCTCCATCTGCTTCGCCACCTATGGGCGCAGCGGACCTGCTGGGTGCACAATCACGAGCGAACAACCGCTGACGAAAGCAAATCTGAACTACGACAAACACTGCTTCGACAGCTACAAGTAGTAGCGGCCAGGGAACACAGGTTCATTCGCGACGAGGACGACCGTATTTCTTTCAGCTAGCGACAGAACTCTTCTCACCCCGGTTTCTCCTGTGACCGTTTACTCAAAATGACCCTGGACGGCAGCTCACACCACCGTAGGGGTGCTCGAGCTGCTAGAGACTTTTTAGCAATCCTTAAACCGTAGCGGCAATACGACAGCCTGTCACTCTCTCTCATGTGCGCTAGACCTTTCTGTCTGCTGCTTGTCTCTAACGCTGTCTAGAAGCGCAAACGACTAGGTATCTACAAAATTGCTAGAGCGCTAGATCGCTCTTTAGGCGAGAGAGAGAGATGGACATGTATATGGAATCTGTAATAGGTGCAGGATGGCTGACATCTTCCAAGCCTGGTCAGCGACGATAATCCCGTTGCAAATTTGGTGGGTAGACGGAGCTTGTCACCGCTGATGAGGGATGTCGAGGTTTTAATTGGACTATTCGCTTCTACACAAAGCATATGTACTCCCAATGATTTTGTGGCAGCTCGCCACTTCTCTCGCTTTTCGTCAGGGACCATGGGTAGGGCCTAACGTACTATCAGGTCCGGTGGTTTCAAGTACGTCCATTATTCAAGAATAACTAACGAATGAAGTTTCCGGGAAGTGTGTTCCGGAACCGGATCTACAACGTGGGTGCTTAAAAGAACCGGGGGCGAGGGTAGCGTAGGTCAAGAAAATCCAATCCAAGCCAGATCCGAGCACATCTTGAATTTCTCTCAGTTCAACGCTGCCCTAGGCAGCAGAAGATATTAAGACGTCCAAAAGGACGCCCGACTAAATCGGTGACCGCTTGGCGCAGCCAGCCGACCTATAGTGCGAGTACCCAAAGTTACGTTACGCGCCAAAAGAATGCCACTAAAATCGGGGACAGACTCCATTGTGGCCGCTCAAGCGACCTTACGAGCTGGATGTCGCTATCGCCGAGGCGATGACAATGGTAGGGAAACGCCAACCCGCCGTAATTTATCCCTTAGAGGCCGACCCGTCCACGATGGTGGGACTTCGTTTGCCTCTGGCGTGGTTCTTCGACGTAGAGTTTAGCCACCTAAGTATCTGCAAGGCGCGGGGAACGCCAACCCGCCGTAATATTTCCCCCAGGAGCTCATCCATCTGCGATGGTGGATCCCTATTAGGCCGCTTGTGCGACCCCCCGGACTTGGATTGCGCAACCGCCGCAACGGCGACACGTTGTGCGGGGTACGCCTCCATTCCGTAACCTTCTCCTTCTTGGCCGCTTGCACGACCCGTAGATCCACTGCCCGTACAACAATAACGCGAGTGCAGCACGCTCGAGGCAGAATCCAAACATTCGGCTCCCCTATGGAAGGATTCCATCCAAATCGGAGGAGTAGGATGAGCTTCACGATCGTCTATTTACATGTTAACATGAGCAAGATGTCTGATAAGTCCTGAACCAGGATACAAGCGCAGGTGTTGGTGGCTTGTAGTGACTGATGTTACATAAAGTCGGGTATCCTTGCGGATCTTGCTAAAGTAATTCAATACAGGCGAGGAGACGCGCTCCGCTGACAGCAGTGATCGCCGACCGATGTTCGCATACAGCAATTGCCTTGGCTGCCGCAGGCCGCTTTTACAAAATGCAGACGCACTCCCAACCGTGGATGATAGCTGTCCACTAAATACCGACTCATTGCGCTCTACCCAGAGATGCACTTGGCATACAGAACAGGGTACAAACCAGATGCGTCGATATTCGTCCTCCTCGGCCTTGTGATCGTCCTAAAGAAGATAAAACAGACGTGCGCCGAGACAGTGAGGTAGCGATGGAGCCCGACGGTAGGTACAATGTCGAAAGTAAGCTTTGATCTTGGCTTCTCCTGCACCTGTTCCAGTCCAATGCCGAATGGGTAGGCTCCAACATTGTAGCGGAGCTACACATCTCCTTAATTCAGAGGAATACTTATCTATAACAAGCCAACGGCTTACGTCTGACAGACTATTAGTTCTACGGAACAAATATATCAAGTTAAAGATTCACCCAGTTCTACGGAACCTGGATGGACTCTACGAGCTAACAGCTCAACTACTGTGTAGTTCTAGAGAACCACAAGCACAATGTGCAGGGGAATAGGATTCTAAGGACTCTCTAAGCTACGTTAGTTCATAGGAACTGCGGGGCACAATGTGCGAAAAGGGGGAATACTAGGGACTTCTGCTTGAAATGAAAACTGAACTTTGTTTAGATTTCATATCAGACAAAATCCTACTTTAGGTATCCTATATTATGCTAAGTTAGAACCAGTACTAATATCAGTATTCCCAACTAAATGGATGGTTTCTACATCACTCAGTCATCAAATGATGACGGTACAAGGTACGTACACGGTAAGTACTGTAAACCTGGGAATATCGGTCAATCGATATTCTCTTGCTGATATAAAAATCTAAGGTCACACACATTCATCCGTATCATTTATGGGAGGTCTCTGACCAATTTAGCCAATGGCTAGCGTTACCCCGTTACACCCCCCACCAGACTGACGCTACACAAACCTCACTCGACCCATCTCCCATTGAGACTTGTTACAAAGTAACACACTCCATGGGCCAACCTGGACACCTCCTGGAAGATAAGGCTCTAGCTGAATTCCTTGGTCGAGGGCGTGAACTTCGACAGTGGCGGTGATACCAAAGTCGAGGGGGAGGAGCAATACAAACCCGGCACACCTGTGCGTGGGGACATTCTCCTTCCGGCACCTAATCCGGTTCCCGAACGTAGTGCCGCGACTCCGCTAACAGCGCTTGGAGCAATGTCCCACATGGATACATCCATTATCACTAACCCGCTTGATGAGGAGCAACAACGCATGCTCGATCAAGCGGAAGCGCACGGCGCATATCAGAAGTTCTTCCAAATTCGCAACGACACAATGAATATACGTTCACTCCACCTAGCGTGGAAGAACCGATTCATCAAGCGTCACGCCATACCTTAACAACAATGGGCCACCGGCCCCGAGGCGAAAACGCTCACTGAAATCGAATGCCGCAAGGCTCTTCGAGAGAGGTACTCGGAACTTACTGTGATGACTTTGAGTCAATACAGAGAACGGCTGCAAAAGAAGACCCAAGGAACACCGGTTCCACAAATTAGGGGTATACCCATCATTATGTCCGAAGATGGGGACGAAACTGCGGAGAACAATATATTCATCCGCCGGGTGCATGGAGTTTGACGCCTCAGTAGCATGCACGCACTACTCGAAAGTGCCATTGTGGCAGACGTTCGTCTAGAGCGAAAGCTTCGCTATGACTGCGCGAAGTTAAAGGCCAGAGGCCACCTGTGGGGAGTATCACGCTCCCGCTATACTTCAGCTGCTTCTGAAGCCGCAAGTTCACGACAATCTTTTGATAAGAACTCGCCCGCTCTCACTACAACGAGTGAGAAGCGTTACGCTCGGCAAGACGAGCTCGGCCGTGGCGCTCAAAAACGTCAACGGCGTATGTGCAGTCTTGCCGAAGGGGAACCCTATACTCCAATAGTTTTTCAGACTCAGGGTACCCACACCACTTCAGCAGATATTGATAGTGACCATCATGACGACGTCGTTAAAATACCCGTTCCACATGGAACTGTAAGTTCCCTTGCTTACCAAGCAACGCCTGTGTCGGTCGTAGTATCGGCTGAAGGCCATGCTGAGTTGGTGAAGAAAGCGGAGGATCTCCGTGAGACTTTACGTCAGACTCAGAACGCCCTGGTCGAAGCCCGATTTCGTCTGGCGACGTTGGAAGGCAACCGCGCCCATCTTCAGATGATGGAGTCACGCCAGACTCGTGTCGAGACTCAACTTGATCTCTTAATTCGGATGCAAAATCCTGTGGCAACGCCAATGTACGCGGCGCAAGCGCCTTCAAGTCAGCACGGGACGGGTCCCGGTATGGCTTAAGCAGGCCGACATAAAAGACGGGATATGTACGCGATTTGCGCGGCAAGTTGGGCGTATACGCAAGGCCCTTCTTGGCCACGACCATAAAAGGTTCAATGAAGCGCGGACGCAACTTCGTTTATAAAACAGCTGACACTACTTTGTAGATAGATTTTTAGCGCTTAGCAAGACTTGGTCTCCGACCTCATAACTTTCACTACAATTTCTGCTTTTGGCATCTGCTTGTTCCTTTTGTTTGTCTTGGCTATCAGCCATTGCGTCTCGCACATGTCGTAAGACATTTAACCTTGTTGCAAGGAACTCACCAGCCTGTTTCTAAACAGTGGCAGGGCTGACATCAGCAAGCCGATTGGCAATCCCTCCCCCACCAATCCCTGAACCACGGAGTGTTAGCGTCAATGGTACGCGCGGATAAGTGAGGTCTTTCACATAGAACGGGGTGTAGCCAGTCGAGGCATGGACCGAATTGGTCATGGCAAATTCGACCACCGGAAGCATAGAGCTCCAACGCCGAGGCATATCTGCGCAAACGCTGTGTAAAATGTCACCAATGACACGATTAGTTCCTTCAGTTTGACCATCGGTCTGCGGATGATCCGCAGTGGACATGTCCAATCTGGTGCCGATCACCTTGAAGATGGACTTCCAAACTTTCCCGTAAAGCGAGGATCTCGATCTGAGACAATTGCCAAAGGCGAACTTGTTGACGAAACACGCGATCGATATACAGCTGTGCTGTACGCTCACCATCAATCGAATCCGGACAGCCGCTAAATTAGTCATCTACTCAAACGGTCAACAAAGACCACAATACCAGTGTTGCCGACCAAATCTGTTGGCAAAGCAAACACGAAGTCCATACTGATGGATTCCCATCAAACCGTGGGTATAGGCAAACTCGCCAAAGGCGCAGCCGCAGAGCGGAGGGTTTGACGCGTTGACACGTTTTACACGTACTCACATATTTGCTCACCTATTTATATAATTTGGGCCACCAACAGTGTTGGCTGACCGAGCCATAAGTCGTCTCTCGACCGAGATGACCGCTCAAAGCTGTATCATGCGCCTCAAAGAGGATACGATACTTCAAATTCTCATCATGAGGTACTACGATGCGCGGAGTATCCGCCGCATCCGTGCTATAGCACAAGAGGCCATGATCGAAAGAATATTGATGTAGCCCTGCACGCGAGCGTGCCAACAATTGAATGTCCAAGTCTTTAAACTCATCACAACCGAGTTCGCGTAACAACGCAACACACTGATCATCCTTGGCATAAGCCGCACGGATTAAATCAGGGATAGAAGACGACAGAGTCATAACATGAGCAAGCTCATAATCCGGCCTGCGTGATAATGCATCGGCCAAAGCATTTTGCTTCCCTGGTTTATACTTGACCTCGAAGTTATACTCAGCAAAGAATGAAATACAACGGGCCATACGCTGCGAGAGATGAGGCGACTGGGTCGCAGTGCACAACGACGCATGATCCGTGTAGATTACAAACGGCTTGGAGCCAAGTAGATGTACTCTGAACTTGACAGGAGCATACTTCATTGCAATTGACTCCTCGTCATGAACTGGATAGTTCTTTTCGGCAGCTTTTAGCTGGCAAGACTTATACGCAATGACGCGTTCATTTCCATCGACATCGTTTGACAACAATGCACTGCCAATGGCAAAATCAGATGCGTCACAGACGACACTGAAAGGTCGCTCCGGGTCAGGCAAAACCAACATTGGAGCATGAATGAGACTCTCCTTAACAGCTTGAAAAGCTTGTGCCTGAACCGAGTCCCAACACCGAACCGCGGCCTTTTTAAGGAGGTTGGTTAATAGCCTTGCCATGTCAGCATAGTTTGCACTATACTTGTGTAAGTACTTGGCTAAACCAAGCCATTTACGCAAGTATTTGGGTTAGACGGAACCGGACAATCCACATTGGATTTCACCTTAGCGGGATCTGCCCGTATGCCGCGCTTTCCAATGAAGCACCCTAGAAAAGGGATTTCTTCAGCACTAAAAATGCATTTAGATGCTTTTGCATACCACTCGTTGGTGCGCATGCACCCGAGCACTGCTCGGAAATGATCAATGTGATTTTACACATCTGATCGTCCTTGTTCTGCACGGCTATGGAATCAAAATAACTTTGTGCATATCCTCTATGAGGGCGGAACAACTGCGTCACGAGAAGATTAAAGGTTGCAGGGGCATTAGAAAGTCCCTGAGGCATATCAAGCCACTCCCAAAGCATGCCGCTCGGCGTGCTATCCGCTGAGAGCGGGATATCACTCGCTCGCATGAGCAGTCGGTAGTAACCATCGACTAAGTCGAGTGCGCTAAACATGGTGCAACCCATCATAGCGTTCTGAAGAACATCCTTTACAGGAATAGGTTTCTGCGCCGGTATAGTGGCCACATTGAGCTTATTTTAAGCGTGCACAATACTCCACTTACCATTGGACTTGCTGACACAAATGTCGGTGTCGAGTGTGAAGATTTGCTCTCCCGCACCATGCCTGCCGCGTGCTTTCCACGAAAGAATTCGTCAATGAAGTCACACTGTTCCTTAGGCAATGGCCATTACCGTATGACACAATATTTGGTCCCAGGGACAAGGTCAATTTTATGACGTACAACTCTATCTGGGAGGTAGAGTGGATGGTGGATCATGACACACCACGTCCTGAAATTCCTTTACCAACGGATAAAAGGGATTCGAAGGATCCTTCAAAATGGCCGATCCACTGCGAGCACTGAGTGCAACTTTATTGTCCTCAAGAACTGTCTCATCTGCAAGGGATGACGAGTTCAACTCAAGGTCAAATCTATGGACCACCATATCGAACAAGGCACCATCCTTTTAGGCTTGATGATATATGTCTACAGACATTTTTGTCTAGCTCTAGCAGAGCGTTAATCGATGGGAGGGCCTTAAGGCCAACTTCTCCATCAATCGCACCCGACACCCCATTATCTTACGTGTACAACTGTTCACTAATGTCCTTCTGGGTCATGGCAGAAGCCCTTCTTTTCACAGCCGCCAGCTGGCGTCGCTGTCGTCTCTGTGCAGAGACTGAACACTTCAATGTGTTAGGAACATCCGGTTTCACGAGGTTAAGATTATTTTCAACCTCAACCTGCTCTCTCTGAGAGCCAATGTAATTACCGACATTAAGTGTGGTGCCCTCACGGCCGACCTCGCTCTGTGGAGAGTTATGCAATATACTCGCATCAGGTGAGCATGGCACCGGATCCCTTGGCGCTTCGCCATAAATGTCATCACTGGCATTAAGATGGGGGCCTCACGGCCGACCTCGCTCTGTGGACAGTTTTCCACTATATTCGCATCAGGTGAGCATGGCACTGGATCCCTTGGCGCTTCCCCAAAAATGTCATCACTGACATCAAGTGGGGTGCCATCATGGCCGACTTCACCCTGTGGATGTTTAAGTGCCACTCCTCGCGCATCACAGGTATCACACCCAGTATGACTCAGCCTTAGGCCATCAATGCTTCCAGCATTCAGTGATTCACTGTCATTACTAGTGTCACTCAACGGAATACGTTCCGTTTTACTATTGTCAATGACATCAGAGGTTACTAGATCAGACACTCCAATGTCCAGCACACTGGCAGACCCCGTCGGTGGCGCGTGCCAATAGCGCTTTTGTTGCCTAGAAAATGTGGGTTCATGACTCTCCAAAGCTTCACTAGTAACATTGCGCGTAGCGCCTAAGGTCTTCGATCTCCAATCAATCCATGGTTCATGGCGTTCCAGCCAAGCCATCCCAAGGATGAGATCATATCTCGAGTTCAAATCCAGGACAAGACAACGCTCGATACTATCGAAATCTAAAAATTTCACACCTAAGTTCAACGGAATTTTAGATACAGTGACACGAGTACCTGTCGCTAAGCGAACAGTGATAACATCACCCTCATGCGCTTTCAGCGCCTCAGCATATTGCTGACATCCTTTTAGGGACCTTCGTCGATCATAGTTGCCTAACGCTCCAGAGTCCACTAATATTGACCACGGCTCTTCAAAGCCCTTAATTTTAGCCGAGGCCACTGACAAGCCTGGTTTATACTCACGTCTCGTGGAAACTTCCACAAGACCGTCCGGGGCTAAGCCCTGTCTATCTTTACCACCTAAAGATTCGGCAGAATCTAGTTCCTCCCCAGTAGAACGCCCCGCGCCTACTGGGAGCTGCCGTTTTCCCGCTCCGTACCAACTTTCGGGTTAGGAGGCGGATTGCGGCTCGGCCGACTTTGACGTGGCTTCCGCAGTGGGCACTGAGGGCGCAAGTGCTTGATACTCCCGCACATGTAACATCTACGGATGTTACGTTGCTGTTTAACAGCCAGAAGATCTTTCTCTTTATCTTCAGCATGGCTGAGATCCATGGGCTCAGCCCTGTCAAATGCTCTTTGGGCCTGCCCATGAGTGCCATAGCGAGCGGCTTTAAAGTTGAACTCAGCATTCAACACTATGTCTACGGCCCCTTCAAACGTTGAGGGGTGCACGCGGAAGACTTCCGTCCTCTCGATCCCCGTACGGAGGCCCTCCATAAGAATGATGACACGGACTTGCTCTGGAAGAGGGTCCAGCTGCATAGCAGCTATGAGAGTTTGCAACTCTTGGACAAAGTCCGGTAATTCCCTCTTTCCCTTCCTATCGGCTGGGAATCGAGAGTGAACACGATACGATTGATTCGGTGGCGCGAACACCCGAGACATTTCTCGTTTAAGCGAATCCCATGTGGGAAACGCAGCGCTAACCGACGTATCACAGGCAAGAGCCCATTCTTTGGCTCTACCACCGTAGAAATGGCTAGGCCAACTTTCTGTCGCTCCGATTGAAGCAAGGCGGCTTCAATAGCCATATCGATTTATTGAATCCAGAGGAGGAGACTTTTCCCCTCTTTCCCCTCAAAAGTATTAACGCTAAGGGTGAGCGGACGAGTCTTTGACTTACTGTCGGGTACTGGAAAGTACCGTGTAGGCACGGATGAGGCTAAATGATCGTGGACCTGCCCTATCAGCGTAGCCTCAAACAGCATAAATGAATTAAGACGTGCACTAAGCACTTCTATGCCTTGGGCCACAATGTGGTCGACCAGCTCGACCCCTATCAACGCTATAAGCTTATCAAAGCGCGATACGTTGACCTCAGAGAGGTGGTCAAGACCCTCCATCTCTCACAGAGGATTAGTCGAAACGACTCAGGTGTAGGATTTACTACGAGTGCTACCAATTGTAGCAGAGTTACACAGCCCTTTAATTCAGAGGAAGACTTATTTAACAAGCCAACGGCTTACGGCTGACAGACTATTAGTTCTACGGAACAAATATATCAAGTTAAAGAGTCACCCAGTTCTACGGAACTCGGGTGGACTCTACGAGCTAACAGCTCAACTACTGTGTAGTTCTAGAGAACCACAAGCACAATGTGCAGGGGAATAGGATTCTAAGGACTCTTTAAGCTACGTTAGTTCATAGGAACTGCAGGGCACAATGTGCGAAAAGGGGGAATACTAGGGACTTCTGCTTGAAATGAAAACTGAACTTTGTTTAGATTTCATATCAGACAAAATCCTACTTTTGGTATCCTATATTATGCTAAGTTAGAACCAGTACTAATATCAGTATTCCCAACTAAATGGATGGTTTCTACATCACTCACTCATCAAATGATGACGGTACAAAGTACGTACACGGTAAGTACTGTAAACCTTGGAATATCGGTCAATCGATATTCTCTTGCTGATATAAAAATCTAAGGTCACACACATTCATCCATATCATTTATAGGAGGTCTTTGACCAATTTAGCCAATGGCTAGCGTGACCCTGTTATAAACAGCTCTCATTGTGGGACAATCCCAGAATATATGCGTCGTGGTCTCTTTGCGTCCATGACAGAGCTCGAGTTTTCTGCAGCTGTGGTCCACGAAACGACCGGCGTGATAGAGATTCACCTCGTTGGTAGCTATGCGATACAAGTCCACACTTGGTACTCTGTAAGACTATTTGCGTGATACTAAACTTGTGTAGGACTTTGATGTGCTACTGCCTCAAGCTATAAGTCTATCCGCCTTTGACCTTCGAAGCGAGTCATCCATTTCTGTAGAGCTGGAAAAGCCGACGCTTATGTTAATGAAATGCACTCCGTTGAATTGCTGTCCATATTCGTCCATTACCAATTGTGTCCGGCACACATCAAGGGAATCGATATAGAGACGGATGAGCAAGAAATACCAGGCCCTGTGAGATTTTACGTCGCCAGTACGTAAACTAGCTTTCGGAATTACACCGTAAGGCCGGCACATCCCCTTGCAGTAACCAGTGGAGTCCGTTCTCTCCCAGGCGCAACTTTATCAGGGACGCTATTGGGGGAACATGGTCCTGGCATGTACCCATTACTAAGGTGATGTTAATTCGAGTCCACCTATAGAGATGCCGAAAAGGAGGCGGGTGCTGTAAGGTCAGTACCGCCATATCCAACCCCGACCCAATCGCGATTGTTGGTGATGCGATTGATTCCATCCAAGTGGCCGCCGCCGGAGGGGGAAAAGACTGACTTGAACTGATCGTGAAAATCTGGGAATGGTCATCTGGTCTGGATGGGATATCGGATCGCGACGCGGCGACTTGATTTGCACCATGCAGGGCGCCTCGATTATAACCTCTGTCGAAAGTAATCAGGGTGTCGGGGGAAAGAAGAGACGTTGGTGCATCTGTTTGGGACTGCCCCATTGCCGTAGCACTGTGGGAAAAGCTGATCGGTCACTGGACGGGGGAGCGGCCATCGCGACGGCGGACTTACGATTTCTTTGAAGAGAGCGCGAGCAGGCGTGTCGTCAACACACTCGCGCACCGCAAGGCCCTCCTCGCGAGCCGTTTCCCAGAGGATGGAGAAGCAGCGGAACGGATGTGGCAGCGGAACGGATGTGGCAGCGCATCTCACACATTCTCGCAACGCTGTGTCAAACCTGGCTGTGGACGGATAGGATCGACGTAGTTTATCAGGCCGCGAAGACGGACATCACAAGAACTGTGACCAGCTTCTGGACCGCCTGCATTAAACAGCTTGGAGCGATCGCAATTCGAGAGCATAGAAGAAAATGTTGTCGGCTATCCATGGTGCCATGCTGTTTGCATGCATTGAGTTACTCGAGTACAACCCTTGCGGGTCGCCCGGCATTCTACAGGAGGCCCCTGGCCTGCCCCCGGAGCCACCGGCTCTGCCTGCTTGGCTGTGACTGTATTAGAGATCTTGCACATAGATAGGCAATCCCGTGTATAGACCATCAGTCAACAACAACGACAGTTCTCCCGCTTTGCAATATCTCCGAGCTGTCGCATACCTCTATCCTATAGTCAACTACAGGTTGAGGAGCTCTGGGCGGCAGTCCTGACACCTCATTTCCAAATTCACCTTCACCTGCAGCCACTTCACCTGCAGCCCCTTCACCTGCAGCCCCTTCACCTGCAACAATAAGAAGCATGCGTGTGGTATTCACTGCAGTGGCCACTATGGCTGCTCTGCTTGCTTGCAGTGACTCGGTCCCGACGGCTGGTGAGCCGGAGGCTGTTCTCGAGCACGACGTCTCGCTGTTTGTGGCTCGTGGGACGGATGGCGACGCCTACGGAGAAGACGCAAAGAGGCTGTTGAGGGCTACTGGAGACGAGGAAGATGGGTTAGCACCAATGGAGTCCGATGAGGAGGCGCGTACGATTGTCAACCCTGCCGCCATTGAAAATTTAGATACGGTCAGGACGGTCTTAGCCTCTGGCATGTTTGGGAAGACTACGAAGCCGGCGCGCGATGCTGCAGTACAGGCAGCTGTTGCCGCCGTCGACGAAATGGGAACAGTCAAAAAAATCTTAGCTAGTGGCGTCTATGGGAAGACGACGAAAGAGGCGAAGGAGGCTGCCCGACAGAAAACTACGATACAAAAGGCAAGGGATTTTAAGCGAGAACTGTTGAAGAGGACCCAGAAGGGTGCGGATGATGAGCTGCTCGAATATTTGCTGACGCTTACAGAGAAATTCGGTGTGTTCTTGGACGAAGCTGTTGCCGGTATGACGGGCAAAGAAGCCGCCCATGCATTCGAGAAGCTCCAGGACGGAACGCTCAAGAAAACCAAGGAGGTGGATGATGGTGGTGTCGTAGCTGGTGGGTTACTTCGTAAGAAAACCAAGGAGGCGGATGATGGTGGTGTCGTAGCTGGTGGGTTACTTCGTAAGAAACCGAGGAGGCGGATGATGGTGGTGTCGTAGCTGGTGGGGTACTTCGTGATAGTCCTGCTGCTTAGCCCATCCACATTGCCGTGACATCGAGACGCGAGCGACTTGTTGATTCCTGCTTCTGCTGTCAACTCATGTCGCAAGTAGTTTCTGGGTGCGATGTTGTGATGCGACGGACGATGGATCAGCGACTGCTGGATTCGAGGTGTCGGGTCAGCTTGCGCTTGTGTTGTTCAACACACTTAACATCGTGATGCATTTCGTTTCTTTTGCCATGAAGTGTCTAGTGCCTTTTAAACTTGGGGAAGTATACATGCGTTTGCCCCCTAGTCCTCCTGATGGCTCGACATATGACGTGAGGTCCTTAGTAAGTGCTGCTTTGACCCCTTTGCAACATGTGTGCTGGTCTTGTCTGCGACGATCACACACACACGCACATGTCCTCTTATTCTTATCTGTGCTGCACACGTACTTGCACAAGTTCACAAGTCTTTCGTCCAGTTCCTTCCTATTTTTGGTACGCTTCCCTACGTCGCGATGCAGACTCCTCCCGCGGCTTGGCATTCTATACTTCGGCTCTGTAACGCACAATCCGCCACGTTTACCTGCTGTGGTCGACTGCAACATCTGCGCCTCACTGCTTCTCTAAGTCGTGTCTCGCGCGGACGCAGCTCTCACAACTCCCACCGACATGACAGAATGTCTGAAGTAGTTGGTTCCAGTCTTCTGCTACGACCCCTTGTCAGGTCTCGTGCGTGATCATAAGTTTGTGAACAATACAACACCTAGCGGCATTGAGACATTGAATGTGGTATCGGAGTTTGTAAACCTGATATTCTCGAGCCAACCTGTTCACGAGCCATCAACTGCGTCTCATTGCCTTCATTTCGTTTTACATTGAGTTGCTCGTCGTATCGCGTCAAAGAATTCAATGAACCCCGACGCTGACTGCGTGAGCTAGCCTTCTGTCACCTCCAGCCAGCGATTTCACAATCAGTTCTGGGTATCTAGCCTCGTGTCAGAACTAATTCGGAAGTAGACAAGCATTGCAATGGCAGCATGCGGACCTACAGCGGATGCTATACAAAAGTACGTCGTCGCGGAAGTCGACAGAGCTGTCGATAAAGAAACACACAACGATAGTACAAAACCAAGCAATGAAGCTCAATACCGATGCCTCTACAATTGCACAAGCATAAGAAAACATTTCGACTTCCTCGCGACAGATATGACTGCATCATCTTCAGTGCTTTCGACATCGCAATTTCGTATGATCAAACTTAGCGACAAGGATGTACTCATGGACATTTTTGACGGTTCTACCGAGATTTCATGCCTCCGCTTTCCCGTCTTTTGTTGTACAACTAGTCTCATCTCTATGATATACCGTCCTCTTCGTTTTGTTGTTGCTGCTACAAGTACTGTCAGTCACCAAAGAAACAAAGGGGAGCGGGACAGAAGTCACGGCAATATTCTAGGCTTCGTCATCGTAGTTTGAGACTGTTGAGGTATGTGCTGCATGGGTTTAATCGTTCACGTCTTGTCAAGGGCAACAATAACAACACGAGCAACGGTGCAGCTGCGTTGTAAAAAAAGGCATCTCTGGATTACTTGAATAATGGAGAAGAGTATGTAGCTGTATATATTGTATGGCTAAGGGAGGAACGTCACAATGCCTTTGTTTCGCACCTCATCTGGCAACCATTACCACATCGCCACATTTTACGAGTATACAACGATATATGGCACTAGGAACTGTCAAGAGTGCTACAAACCTATTACTTGAAAGCACTTGGTTAGTAACATGGTGCGGATGACGCTTATGAAGATGCAATACGCGTCCATTTTATTAGTTGAGGCACAGGCATTCGTCAACACAAGGTAGAAACGTTCATAAATAACGCAAAATTGTAACGGGGTGAATCGTTACATAACAATTTACAAGAAGTTGTTAATAGAATATAACTATAAGAGTTATATTCTCAGAATTTTGTCATAAGGACAAATATTCTGCAGCACTTACGAATAGTTCCTAATAGGTTGATATAGGCCATTATATCAACCAACGAAGACGCGCCACGACAGACGCACGCAATGAGTGGTGAGCAGGTAGTTGATATACACATTTGTATTCAGACATAGTTAAATGAGGATAAATAGTGATCTATCAACAGACATTAACTATGATAAATACAGCTCTACTTTTTACTTAAACTAAGTACTCGCTTCTTCGTACAGTCTACCTCTGCACGCACCAGTGTACGTGAAGTTACGCGGCACCGCCTTATTCTGTCATCAGAATAAGTAGCTTGCACTGTCATCAGTACAAGCTTAAGGGTGCCCCGTTACACCTGGTAGCACTTTGTAGTCCGTCCAAGGACCACGTTCACATCTAACATGAATATGTTAGATGATGACCAAAGCCTTCACGCTACGCGTGACGGCTACTCCCATTTGAGCAATGTCGAATGGGATGCGGTTGAACGGATGGGTTCAACCATGGGCATCCATGCTGTTAGCGTCATGCTAGAGGCTCTCAATAGAGATGCCCAACATGCTACTATCGCCAAGTTCATTCAAAATGAACTTTACGCTGAACGTGAGAAAGTAGCCTTGCTTCACCAACAAGGTTCTCAGCAATCAGAGTTGTTGAGAGAACAGGGTGCTCAACAGTTTGAACTGTTGAGACAGCAGCAGGCTGCTGCTGGTGGGTCGATGCACTCGCGTCGACCCGAGACCTTGAAGATTGACATCTCCAAGTATAGGGGAGTCGAAGAGGACTCCTTCTTGAGATGGTTTGTCGAATTAGACGACGCCATAAGGGCGCGTCGCATCGACGATGGGGAAATGCAAGTTGCATTTGCCCAATCAAATCTGGCAGGACGTGCCAAGACTTGGGCTTTGGGACTCAAGTTGCACGACCCATATGCGTTTGGGTCGTTAGAAGGCTTCAAGGCGCGACTCAGACAAACGTTTGAACCGCCTTGAGCTGATTTCAGAGCTCGAACTGAACTATTGAAGCTCAAACAAGGTAAGCGTGATGTGCACGCTTACGCACAACATATACGACATCTCACGAGTTGTATAAGTTCCAACCCGGTTGATGAACACACGGTGGTTTCGGTGTTCATGCAGGGTCTTGCGGATGGTCCCGTCAAGACTCACCTGTTCCGACTTGAACTAGATTCACTAGAACAAGCCATATCCATAGCGGAATAGGAAGACTTCAGTCTGAGACAGGCTCGCGCCAGCTCGACATCACATCGTCCACCGAGACGATATGACAGCGGAAGTCCAGAGCCGATGGAACTTTGTTATGTAGAGAGCGAGAAGGCTCGCTCTACAGACTACAAGAAGTTGCAGAAATGCAACAGATGTCAAAAGATAAGACACAACGCTTACGAGTGTAGTGCCCCTCGTCCAGTGTCTCGCAACACTGGGCGTAATGACCGTCCACCCATGAGAAAGGGGCAGGGACGCGGGTCCGCTGTTGGTGCAAAGACGCAACAACGGGATGGACCGTCAAAAAACGGGCAGGATCAGTAGGTGCGGAGCACCCTACTGGTCCAGCAACGTCAAGAGAGTTTGTAGACCTCTTGATGAAGGTTGCTCCCAACACACAAACATTGTGCGTTGCTGCACTAGGTAATGAGATCTTACTCATTACCTTTAAACTCGAAGTGACGAATAAGTTGTCTCTTCGAGCTCTAGTTGATTGTGGGGCGTCCAACAATTTTGCGCAACGCCAATTGCTAGAAGATGGTCACTTCAAGTTTGTTGGATGTGACACACCTCCTACGAGGATGACGGTACATCTTGCGACAGGCGCATCCGTAACCGTCATGAAGCGTATAGTGAAGATTCACTATACGCTAGAAGATACCCAATATGACGACGACTTTATCGCATTGGATTTGGATGACAAATTTGATGTCATCCTTGGAATACCGTGGCTCAGAAGGTACGAACCACGAATTAACTGGCAACATCGAACAGTAACGATGCCTGCCGCTTGTTCATCAGATGGCCATCTGATGAACGTTTTGTAGCGTCCACAAGCGTGTGGATGTACTACGAGTGAGTGCGATGGCCTCACTTGTGGTACGGTCGTTAGTACGACTGCACAAAACCTTAGTGTACCAAACGGTTACACTTCGGAGCAAGGTTCCGGCGGCTGTGAGGAAACACAGGCTGCGCCGAAGGTCCACCACTCGAATAAGTCGAGTGGACCGGGACAAATATATATCCCTAGCGGGGAACATCTGGAAGAGAAACAATCGATCGCTCAGGTTAAGCGAAACGATAATCCTGGATCGACTGGAGAGTCTTTCGTAGAGGATTTCGCTGTGGTTGCGCAACCACAGCTAGAGGAAGTTAAGGGAATAAGTGCCGATATTACAAATACGGCGGAAATAAGTTCCCCGAAACCCGCGGGAATAAGTCCCCGTGAAGCCAAAGGAATAAGCCCTTCGAGGCCTGAGGGAATAAGTCCCCAGGAAATGACAGCGACATTGAATGTCCTAGTCAATGATGGATCAAGTGTGGGCGCTTACACACTTGATCTGATTGCGCCTCCGAAGTTGACTTCGGAGATCACTCAGTTGCCAACGCCCGAACATAAAAAGTTCTTGCGTGATCTGCGTAGTGGCAAAGTCAAGCAGATCCGTGTACTCGTCGCTGACGACGAGTGTGTAGCCGACATAAGGTAAGCATCAATGTTTACTGAGAACGAGAGAGTTCTCAGTAGTTCATCGATGGACGAGAGTGTCCTCGATGAAAAGACACGAGTTGAGCGATATGACTCCCAATCGTGGGAATCGCTCAAGACAAATCCTCTCTATAAGGATTTGGTTGAATTCAAGGATGTATTCCCTGAAACTGTTCCGTGCGAATTACCGGAGGATAAAGGTACTCGACACGAGGTCGAGCTTAAACCAGGCTCGAAGTACTGTGTCATGAAGCAGTGGCCACTGCCTCGTGAACAAGTACTTGCGATCGACAAGTTCTTTGCCGATCGTTTAGCTGCAGGCCATGTGGAGGGAATCAACTTCCCCACATAGCTCTCCGACCTTCTGTGTGCGAAAAGCAACAGGAGGGTGGCAGATAGTGCATGCATTCAATAAATTGAATGCTGCAACGGTACCGGCTCAGACACCGATACCAAGGAAGGACGTAATCATTGATGGTATGTCAAAGAGTACCATCGTTTCGTCCATGGATTTGATGGATGGCTTCTATCAAATCCTTATGCGAGAACGGGATATACCCTATACCGCAGTTAGCACGCCTAGCGGCATGCTCTAGGAATGGCTAGTAATGCCACAAAGGCTAGGTAATGCCCCTGCCACGTTCAACAGATGTGTATCACATCAGTTGAGACCAGTACGAGAGTTCGCGCCGAGTTATTTCGATGACGTATTCATCCATAGTCTAGCTACGGATGGAAAGTCGGATGTTGAGGTTCACAGATACCACGTCCGACAGGTTCTTACAATCATGCGAAAGCATCAATTGTATGCTAATCTCAAGAAGTGCATATTTGCAGCAAGCGGAATACTACTTCTTGGGTGCATCGTTGGTAAGAACGGTGTACGTCCTGATCCCGAAAAGATCAAGGCGATCACCGACTGGCCCATGCCAGTTGATGTCAAAGGCCTTCGAAAATTCCTTGGGCTAGCGGCGTATTTGCACAAGTATTCACGCAATTACGCCGAGATGACTGTACACCTCTCTCGTTTGTTGAAAAAGAACGAGAGGTGGTTATGGAACGCTGAATGTCAGCGCTCCTTTGATGGTATCAAGCAGAGCCTGATACAATCCCCAGTCCTAGCAATTGCCGATCAGGACAGGCCATCTCATGTGGTCTGTGATGCCAGCGATTTCGCAATCGGCTGTGCATTAATGCAGTACGATCTTGAAGGCGTTGAACGCGTCGTCTGCTATCAGTCGCGTCAGCTGCAACCAGCTGAGCGGAACTATCCAGTGCATGACAAGGAACTCCTTGCCATGAAGTATGCACTCGCGAAGTTCAGAGTCTATCTATTAGGAAATAGACCCTTCATTGTTTACACTGACCATGCGTCATTACGCACGGCAGTGAACAGCCCGCACTTTTCACAACGAATGGCGCGGTGGTTGTCATTCTTTGCAGAATACAACTTTACGGTCGAGTACAAACCAGGACGACTTAATGTCGTCGCCGATGCACTCTCACGTCGGCCCGACTTTGAAACAGTCGGGAAACCCAACAGTGGGACAGCCACTGTTGCGATTATGACGTCCTCAATACCATCTTCAACGTTACATGATGATGTGAGGCGGGCATATGCCCAAGATGGTGAGATTGTGAAGTTGTTGACACATCTCTCACAACCATCTCGAGAATCGTTGAGACGATTATCGTCTGCGTATCGATCTGCATCAGATCGGTACACTACTCGCAACGGTTTACTGTATTAAACAGCCGTTACTGGTGACACACCACGTGTTGTCATCCCAGATGATACTGATCTGCGTTTGCGGATCATGTTCGAGTATCACGATGCTTCTATGGGAGGACATCGTGGCCGTGAGAAAACATATCTCACGGTGAGTCGAGACTTTTACTGGCCCCGCCAGTATCAGTTTGTGCGAAAGTATGTTCACGCATGTGAAGTATGTCAACGAGTGAAGTCGAGTCCTTCACTGCGTGCACCTCTACAGCCTCTACCAGTTCTGGCAGAGTGCTGGGAATCCATCTCAATGAATTTTGTCTTGGGTTACCCAAAGACGCACGCGGGAATACGGGTATTCTCGTATTTGTTGACAGATTCAGCAAAATGGTACACCTTGTGGCTGCACCAGAGTCAATCACGGCAAGTGGCTGTGCTTGTGTCTTTATCGGCACCATCTTCCGACTTCACGGGTTGCCCCGTGAACTCGTATCAGACAGAGATCCACGATTCACTGCTGATTTCTGGCGCTCCGTGTTCAAATCACTCGGAACGCGCTTGAAGATGTCGACATCTGATCATCCAGAGTCAGATGGTCAGATGGAACGAGCCAATCGTGTCCTCGAAGAGATACTTCGAGGATACGTACACTACTTTACGAGTTGGAGTGTGTTCTTGCCAATGGTAGAGTTTGCCATTAACAACTCGGTGCATGCGTCCACGACACATACACCGTTTTACGTGAATGGCTTGCGCCATCCGCGTTTACCCACCTTACTAGAGTGTCACTCTGGTTTAAGGGGGGAGGGACTCGCGCGAGCAAAAAACGATTTGGTTCACGCTCATCACGCTCTGACGAAGAGGTCATTGCGTTTGACGCCGATATCGACAACATCTATATCGAAGAAGATGATGCCAGTGAGAGCGAGGAAGCCCTTACTGAAGAAAAATTGATGTTGCTGCAGTGCACTCACAGCGCACTGAAGCTAACGAGTCAACAGATGAGTTCATACTGGCTCGTGAAACGGTAGTCCGTTTTGTGCAAGACTCCATCGCCGAAGCGGTGGATAAGCAAAAGCAAAACGCAGACAAGAATGGAAGGGCAAACACTCTTTTATTCAATAAGGGTGACTTAGTCCTACTGTCTACGGTTAATCTACCAAAGCATGTAGTGACTAACTTGGGTAGTAGTAAACTACTACCCAAGTACATCGGCCCATTTCGTGTATTGCATCGCCTAGGCAATGCATACACGATCGAATTGCCACGTAAGATGCGAACGCATCCCACGTTTTACGTTGGTCGGCTTAAGCCGTACCATCAATACGCTGCTTCTTCCGACGAAGAACGCCCTTGCGCTCAAGCATTTCGAAGAGAGCCTTGTGCTCCCGATGGTGGGCATCGACAAGGGTCTGAAGAGCAGTTATCTCAGCCCGAGAACGCTCAACATTCCCACGAGCTACCCTTAGCTCGTCACGCAGAGACGTCAGAGCTCTCTCGTTCTCGAGCTGAGCAAATGCAAAGTCAGCTCGATGCTTCGAGACAGTGTCCGCCAACTGAAGACGTCTGTCCCGCTCATGTTCGAGATCGCCGCGTAACCCTTGCGTTACGCGATCAAAGAAGCTATCGGGAACACACGCTTCCCCACGATTGTGTGGAGAGCGTCTTCTTCCCTCCTCCTCCATCTCCATTAGAGGACTCTCGTGGTGGCCAGCGCTATCTGGTTGAGCAGCTGTTGAACCACCGCGACGTGAAAGGACGTCGGAAGAGTTATCTCGTCCGGTGGCGCGGCTATCCCCCGTCCTGGGATACGTGGGAGCCCCGCTCCCGACTGATGGTTGAATTACTGCGTCTGGTCGAGCGGTACGATGCGACACATCCTGTGCCGCAGAAGGACCGCCGGAGAAAGTCTTCCCGGCACGGTCGTAAAGGGATTTCAGGTTTGTCAATACCTTCGTACATCTCACTAGAGATACGTACACGCCACCACGGGCTATTAGGGAGGTAAGCCTTCTTAGGTGCTCGTGAGTTGTTCACACAACAAGGGCACGGGTCTCCCCAGGAGCGACAGGGTAACCCACTCTCCCAGACAGACGATGCAGCTTGTAGCGTGCACCTGTCGGGGTTCGCTTTTCAAACGTATCACGAGCTTTGATAAGTTTTTCGTTCCAAACGTCACGACCTACACTCCTCAAGGTTATGGATGTAAGCGTTCCAGCTTGAAGCAGTGAGGGACCATCACGTTTGTGATTCCCACTGTACCATCGATGCTTAAAGAAAGCATCAATGAAGAAATCATTCTCAGCGCGATAGTTTTCGCACTGGGGTCAAGGTGATGGATCCTTGACGAATCGAACAATCGTGTTCGGTAGCGATCACTCCTCGTCGCCGAAAAGTGATCCATGACTGATTTTGGAGGCATCCATGCCTTCTTCTCGGGAGCGAGACGCAATACATGCGGTCCCGCTCTTCTTGCGACGTGCCGACGAGAAGTACTGGCACCTCGTTGCGAAGTGGTGTCAATAGAAGAACCGACACCACTGTGAGCGCCCGAGTCTTGCGACCTCGAGCGCCTTCGCTTCGGCGATGGTTCATCTGATTCATCAGATGAAAACCAAAGATGCTACGACGCGTAGCATCATCCATGCCACGCTTTGTAGGCGGCTTGGTTTCGATCGCCGTCGATACGGATCCGTCTTCCGTACCAGGAGGAGAGTATGAGACACCGAGCTCATACTCTGTGAAGACATGAGTGTCTTCATGACGAGCGCCTGCATCACCAGGTGACACAGGCTGAAGAAAAGCTTCAGCAACCGATGACACATCGGCTTCAACGGTTTCTGCTTCGGCGTCCGCACAGAGACGTGCAGACGCGCTCTCGGCGGCCTTGTTCGCGCACCGCATGGACTTGTTAACCATGCGATGGAACTGTTGGAGTGTGGAGTTGGACCAGCAAGTGCAAACCCTGTCCCAAATGATTTGGGACGAGTATCCATTTATTCAATCAGTCACTAAAGTGACTGATGGTTAAGGGGAGTGATGTAACGGGGTCAACCGTTACATAACAATTTATAAGAAGTTGTTAATAGAATATAACTATAAGAGTTATATTCTCAGAATTTTGTCATAAGGACAAATATTCTGCAGCACTTACGAATAGTTCCTAATAGGTTGATATAGGCCATTATATCAACCAATGAAGACGCGCCACGACAGACGCACGCAATGAGTGGTGAGCAGGTAGTTGATATACACATTTGTATTCAGACATAGTTAAATGAGGATAAATAGTGATCTATTAACAGACATTAACTATGATAAATACAGTTCTACTTTTTACTTAAACTAAGTACTCGCTTCTTCGTACAGTCTACCTCTGCACATACCAGTGAACGTGAAGTTCCGAGGCACCGCCTTATTCTGTCATCGGAATAAGTAGCTTGTACTGTCATCAGTACAAGCTTCCGGGTGCCCCGTTACAAAAATGCAATGTGCAATCATGAAGACCATTACGACACCCAAGAATCGAAGCAACTAGAGTAGCGAGTTTCGTAAAGCAGTTCAACGCTCAATAGGCGGCCAAAACTTCGCTCTATACGGACGTCAATTCCCGCAGGCAGACATCTAGTGTAACGGGGCACCCGGAAGCTTGTACTGATGACAGTGCAAGCTACTTATTCTGATGACAGAATAAGGCGGTGCCGCGTAACTTCACGTACACTGGTGCGTGCAGAGGTAGACTGTACGAAGAAGCGAGTACTTAGTTTAAGTAAAAAGTAGAACTGTATTTATCATAGTTAATGTCTGTTGATAGATCACTATTTATCCTCATTTAACTATGTCTGAATACAAATGTGTATATCAACTACCTGCTCACCACTCATTGCGTGCGTCTGTCGTGGCGCGTCTTCATTGGTTGATATAATGGCCTATATCAACCTATTAGGAACTATTCGTAAGTGCTGCAGAATATTTGTCCTTATGACAAAATTCTGAGAATATAACTCTTATAGTTATATTCTATTAACAACTTCTTATAAATTGTTATGTAACGGTTGACCCCGTTACATCACTCCCCCTTAACCATCAGTCACTTTAGTGACTGATTGAATAAATGGATACTCGTCCCAAATCATTTGGGACAGGGTTTGCACTTGCTGGTCCAACTCCACACTCCAACAGTTCCATCGCATGGTTAACAAGTCCATGCGGTGCGCGAACAAGGCCGCCGAGAGCGCGTCTGCACGTCTCTGTGCGGACGCCGAAGCAGAAACCGTTGAAGCCGATGTGTCATCGGTTGCTGAAGCTTTTCAGCCTGTGTCACCTGGTGATGCAGGCGCTCGTCATGAAGACACTCATGTCTTCACAGAGTATGAGCTCGGTGTCTCATACTCTCCTGGTACGGAAGACGGATCCGTATCGACGGCGATCGAAACCAAGCCGCCTACAAAGCGTGGCATGGATGATGCTACGCGTCGTAGCATCTTTGGTTCATCTGATGAATCAGATGAACCATCGCCGAAGCGAAGGCGCTCGAGGTCGCAAGACTCGGGCGCTCACAGTGGTGTCGGTTCTTCTATTGACACCACTTCGCAACGAGGTGCCAGTACTTCTGTCGGCACGTCGCAAGAAGAGCGGGACCGCATGTATTGCGTCTCGCTCCCGAGAAGAAGGCATGGATGCCTCCAAAATCAGTCATGGATCACTTTTCGGCGACGAGGAGTGATCGCTACCGAACACGATTGTTCGATTCGTCAAGGATCCATCACCTTGACCCCAGTGCGAAAACTATCGCGCTGAGAATGATTTCTTCATTGATGCTTTCTTTAAGCATCGATGGTACAGTGGGAATCACAAACGTGATGGTCCCTCACTGCTTCAAGCTGGAACGCTTACATCCATAACCTTGAGGATGTAGGTCGTGACGTTTGGAACGAAAAACTTATCAAAGCTCGTGATACGTTTGAAAAGCGAACCCCGACAGGTGCACGCTACAAGCTGCATCGTCTGTCTGGGAGAGTGGGTTACCCTGTCGCTCCTGGGGAGACCCGTGCCCTTGTTGTGTGAACAACTCACGAGCACCTAAGAAGGCTTACCTCCCTAATAGCCCGTGGTGGCGTGTACGTATCTCTAGTGAGATGTACGAAGGTATTGACAACCTGAAATCCCTTTACGACCGTGCCGGGAAGACTTTCTCCGGCGGTCCTTCTGCGGCACAGGATGTGTCGCATCGTACCGCTCGACCAGACGCAGTAATTCAACCATCAGTCGGGAGCGGGGCTCCCACGTATCCCAGGACGGGGGATAGCCGCGCCACCGGACGAGATAACTCTTCCGACGTCCTTTCACGTCGCGGTGGTTCAACAGCTGCTCAACCAGATAGCGCTGGCCACCACGAGAGTCCTCTAATGGAGATGGAGGAGGAGGGAAGACGCTCTCCACACAATCGTGGGGAAGCGTGTGTTCCCGATAGCTTCTTTGATCGCGTAACGCAAGGGTTACGCGGCGATCTCGAACATGAGCGGGACAGACGTCTTCAGTTGGCGGACACTGTCTCGAAGCATCGAGCTGACTTTGCATTTGCTCAGCTCGAGAACGAGAGAGCTCTGACGTCTCTGCGTGACGAGCTAAGGGTAGCTCGTGGGAATGTTGAGCGTTCTCGGGCTGAGATAACTGCTCTTCAGACCCTTGTCGATGCCCACCATCGGGAGCACAAGGCTCTCTTCGAAATGCTTGAGCGCAAGGGCGTTCTTCGTCGGAAGAAGCAGCGTATTGATGGTACGGCTTAAGCCGACCAACGTAAAACGTGGGATGCGTTCGCATCTTACGTGGCAATTCGATCGTGTATGCATTGCCTAGGCGATGCAATACACGAAATGGGCCGATGTACTTGGGTAGTAGTTTACTACTACCCAAGTTAGTCACTACATGCTTTGGTAGATTAACCGTAGACAGTAGGACTAAGTCACCCTTATTGAATAAAAGAGTGTTTGCCCTTCCATTCTTGTCTGCGTTTTGCTTTTGCTTATCCACCGCTTCGGCGATGGAGTCTTGCACAAAACGGACTACCGTTTCACGAGCCAGTATGAACTCATCTGTTGACTCGTTAGCTTCAGTGCGCTGTGAGTGCACTGCAGCAACATCAATTTTTCTTCAGTAAGGGCTTCCTCGCTCTCACTGGCATCATCTTCTTCGATATAGATGTTGTCGATATCGGCGTCAAACGCAATGACCTCTTCGTCAGAGCGTGATGAGCGTGAACCAAATCGGCTTTTGATCGCGCGTGTCTCTCCCCCCCTTAAACCAGAGTAACACTCTAGTAAGGTGGGTACACGCGGATGACGAAAGCCATTCACGCAAAACGGTGTATGTGTCGTGGACGCATGCACCGAGTTATTAATAGCAAATTCTACCATTGGCAAAAACTCACTCCAACTCTTTAAGGAGTGTACGTATCCTCGAAGTATCTCTTCGAGGACAAGATTGGCACGTTACGTCTGACCATCTGACTCTGGATGATCAGATGTTGACATCTTCAAGCGCGTTCCGAGTGATTTGAACACGGAGCGCCAGAAATCAGCAGTGAATCGTGGATCTCTGTCTGATACGAGTTCACGGGGCAACCCGTGAAGTCGGAAGATGGTGTCAATAAAGACACAAGCACAGCCACTTGCCGTGATTGACTCTGGTACGGCCACAAGGTGTACCATTTTGCTGAATCTGTCAACAAATACGAGAATACTTGTATTCCCGCGTGTGTCTTTGGGTAACCCAAGACAAAATTCATTGAGATGGATTCCCAGCACTCTGCCAGAACTGGTAGAGGCTGTAGAGGTGCACGCAGTGAAGGACTCGACTTCACTCGTTGACATACTTCACATGCGTGAACATACTTTCGCACAAACTGATACTGGCGGGGCCAGTAAAAGTCTCGACTCACCGTGAGATATGTTTTCTCTCGGCCACGATGTCCTCCCATAGAAGCATCGTGATACTCGAACATGATCCGCAAACGCAGATCAGTATCATCTGGGATGACAACACGTGGTGTGTCACCAGTAACGGCTGTTTAATACAGTAAACCGTTGCGAGTAGTGTACCGATCTGATGCAGATCGATACGCAGACGATAATCGTCTCAACGATTCTCGAGATGGTTGTGAGAGATGTGTCAACAACTTCACAATCTCACCATCTTGGGCATATGCCCGCCTCACATCATCATGTAACGTTGAAGATGGTATTGAGGACGTCATAATCGCAACAGTGGCTGTCCCACTGTTGGGTTTCCCGACTGTTTCAAAGTCGGGCCGACGTGAGAGTGCATCGGCGACGACATTAAGTCGTCCTGGTTTGTACTCGACCGTAAAGTTGTATTCTGCAAAGAATGACAACCACCAAGCCATTCGTTGTGAAAGGTGCGGGCTGTTTACTGCCGTGCGTAACGACGCATGGTCTGTGTAAACAATGAAGGGTCTATCTCCTAAGAGATAGACTCTGAACTTCGCGAGTGCATACTTCATGGCAAGGAGTTCCTTGTCATGTACTGGATAGTTCCGCTCAGCTGGTTGCAGCTGACGCGACTGATAGCAGACGACGCGTTCAACGCCTTCAAGATCGTACTGCATTAATGCACAGCCGATTGCGAAATCGCTGGCATCACAGACCACATGAAATGGCCTGTCCTGATCGGCAATTGCTAGGACCGGGGATTGTATCAAGCTCTGCTTGATACCATCAAAGGAGCGCTGACATTCAGCGTTCCATAACCACCTCTCGTTCTTTTTCAACAAACGAGAGAGGTGTACAGTCATCTCGGCGTAATTGCGTGAATACTTGTGCAAATACGCCGCTAGCCCAAGGAATTTTCGAAGACCTTTGACATCAACTGGCATGGGCCAGTCGGTGATCGCCTTGATC